AAGGATCCTCCTCTTTCACCCACCCACCATTTTTTCAAGCATGAAATCCCTTTTCAATGACTAATCTCTCTTAACAACATGCCCAAAGTATGTGACATGAAGTTTTGTCACCTATGCCTCCAAGGAGAATTTTGGCTACACTTTCTCCAAGATATGCCCATTTGTTCTTTTGGCAATCCATTGGCTATTCTGTACTCTTCTCCAACATCACAGCCCAAAGGCATCCACACTCCTTCTGTCACCCACATTCATTGTCCAACTTTAAGATGTATAGTGAATGATTGAAAAGGCCATAGCCTGAATCAGGTGCACTTTAGTCTACAGAATGACATAATTTCTGATATCATTTGATATATAGACTGTCTATTCTATCTTTTTTGTTTGTTTGTTTTTCATTTAGGTTGTTTATTTTTCATTTCAATGAACATCTACAGAGATTTTGGAATTCCATTCATTCATTGTTGCACCCTTCTCCCCGCACAAACCCCTCCCGCCCCCACCCCCCGTTTGCTCTTCTCCTTGAAAAGCAAAAGAAAAACTCCCTCATTGGTACACAATCCCCCCCGCACCTCCCCAAATCCCACCCCCTACCCCCAAATATAATCCACTCTGCAACCCTACTCCCTGAGCTGTTCAATATTTTTGCCCATATCACTATTTCAACTTGAGGCTTAAATTTTCTGCCGTCTTTTTAGTTTGAGAAATTCCCGACACAGTCTTCTCTTTGAGTTTCTGACTGCAAGTCTTTGCACATTTCATTATCATACTCTCTCTTTTCAATTAATCCTTTTAAATCATTAGCTCTTTTGCGTCATAATTTATTCTATTAACTTTCACTGTTCTGTGTTTCAGAGACTTTTTTACATCCATTTTGGTCTTTCCCCTGCTTTCCTATCTTTTTAAATGACCTTTTACTGTCTTTGTGTATGATGTCCTTAACATCATCCTACAACTCATTGGAATTTCGGTTATTATAAGTGTTCAGTGTGCCATATCTTCCCTTCAGATGATCTCTAAATTTAAATAGGTTGTAATAAAGGTTATATTTTGGCTCTTATGGACTTGTTTTCATGTTCCTTAGCTTTAAATTGAGTTTACAAATTATATATTCTGTGGTCAGCCACTGGCCTTGTGTCTAATGATACATAGTTTCTCCATCATCTTTTTCCATAGATTTGTTGTTGTTTTGTGGCATTGAGTTGGAACCAAATCATAGCTGACCCTTAAACTGGTTTTCAAAGTCTGTAAATACTACAAGAGGAGTTGCCCATTTTTCTCCTGTGGAGCAGCTGGTGGATTAGAACTGCCTGTTTTGGGTTGGTAGCTCATCTCCTTACCCACTGAACCATGTAGTTTATAGGTATTCCCTCTGGTGAAGTATGTATATATAATTGTTTGTGTTGTTGGGGAAAAACCCTTATTTTTCATAAATAGAATATTGGTCTTGCAAAACTCTATCAGTTAATTTCCAGTATCATGCCTGTTATCAAGACCATATTTTCCAGCTACCTTTACATTCGGTAATTATCAATAGATCTGGATGGCATGCTTGATAAATTTTAGATTCTAAAAGTTATCAAAGATCATACTCTTTTTTTTTTTTGTCTTTGGCATTATTCGTTGTCCCCAAGGTAATTCTTGCTCATACAGACCCTTCATTGGATTTCCAAGGCTGGAAAATAACATTGGGATGAGACTACCCATCTTTCCCTCTCAGAGTATCTGATGGTTTTTAACAATGAGAACAACTCTATAGATGTGAGGCCACAAGAGTTATTTTTGGCATTATTAGTGGTAAGAATTTGCATAATAGTAGAATTAGCTATCCTCCTTGTTGTTAACTGCCTTTGAGTCAACTACAACACATTATGACACTATGAACAATAGATACAAATCTATTGTCCTATCCTAGTCCATTGTCACATGGTCACCATGCTCATGTTCACTGTTGTAGTCACTTTGTCAATCCATCTTTCTGAGGATCTTTCTCTCCTTTACAGACCCTCTACATTTCTCAACATGTCTTTTTACAAGGACTGTCCCCTCCTTATACTATGCTCAAAGTATATAGGACAAAGTGTTATCATACTCGCCTCTAAAAAGTACCCTAGCTGTACTTCCTCCAAGACAGATTTGTTTGTTCTTTTGACAGTCAATGTTATTCAACACTCTTGGTAAACCCTACTGTTAAAAAACATTGAGTCTTCCTTCATTCAGTCTTCCTTATTCATTGCATAAGATGCCTGCGAAGTAATTGGAAATACCATGATTTAGATCCAGGTGAACCTCAGTATTTAAACTGACATCATTGCTCTTTAGCAATTAAAGAGGTCATTGAAAACAGGTTTGCACAATGCAACATGTCTTTTGATTTCTTGATTGCTGCTACCATGAGTGTTGATTATGAATCTCAGTAAAATGATTTTTTTTTACAACTTCATTCTTTTCTCAGTCTCTTATGGTGTTGTCTATTGGTCCAGTGGTGAGGATTTTAGTTTCCTTGATGTTGAAGTGTAATCCAAATTGAAGGCTGTAGTCTTTGATCTTCTATAGCAATTGTTTTATTCAAGTTCTCTTCACTGCCAGCAAGCAAGGTTATAACATCTGCATAATATAGATTGTTGATGAGTCTTCTTCCAATCCTGATGCCACATTCTTCTTTGTAACGTCTAGCTTCTCAAAGTATTTTCTCAGTACATAGATTGAAGAAATACGGAGGAAAAGATTCAACCCTGAAGTACATATTTCCTTATTTTAAGTCATGTATTGTTCCTTTGTTCTGTTTAGACAACTACTTCTTGGTCCATGCATATATTTTATGAGTATAATTAAGTATTCTAAGATTCCCATTCTTTTAGTGTTAACCATAATTTATTATTTTCCATAGTAAATAAAACATAAGAA